CCGTCTCAAAAAAAAAAAAACAAAAAAAACCAGCACGTCTCAAAGCGTGGTCCATTGTCCAGCAGCACCAGAATTACTCAAGTGTAGAGGGCCACTAAAAAGGTAATCATAGCGCCCGGGCCAGACTCCAGGTGCACCGAATCAGAATCAGCTTAGCAAGGTTGCTTTAACACAGGTGTGTTCTGTTGTGGCTCAGACACCACAAGCCACGTTGCTCATAGGGATGTGATTTGCTGAAAAGGCCAGCAAATTTAGGTAAAATTCTGAGCAAAAGAAAGTACAATACTCCCTTGTTTACATGGTAATGGTAGGTACATTCCTGGAAGAATCATGTGCAGAGAAATCATACCCAAAATACTTTGTGCAAAATGGAATCAGGCTTGGCCTCAGATACTTGTAAACATGTGTTTTACTTGGGGAGTGTGGGGGACTTGTGGCCATTCTCTCTTCCTGCAGGACTGTGCTGTGCATGGCAGGGCAGTTGGTAGCCCTCGCGCTCATCCTCTAAATGCCAATGGTGCCTCTAGAATGTTCCTGTGAATTTTCAAAATGCCCTACTGGGGAAAGTTCCATCTCTGTTGACACCTACTGGTGTAGTGGAAAGGCCAGGCTTAGAATGAAGTCTCCACTGATTCCCTGTGGCATCCTTGAGTCAGCTAACCTCACCGAACCTCTGTTCTCTAACGTAGTGAGATATGCCAGGCACGGTGGCTCACATATGTAATCTCAGCACTTTGAGAGGCTGAGGTGGGAGGATAGCATGATACCAGCCTGGGTAACATAGCGAGATTCCAGCTTTACAAAATTTAAATTAAAAAATGAGCCAAGTGGTGGTGCATGCCTGTAGTTCCAGCTGCTCTGGGGGCTGAGGCAGGAGGATCGCTTGAGCCCAGGAGGCTGAGGTTACAGTGAATGACTGTGATAGCACCACTGCACTCCAGCCTGGGTGACAGAGCAAGACTCCATCTCTAAAAACAAAATAAAAATAAGTAAAATAAAATGGGAGGGGGGGAAATAATAAACCTACCCTCTTAAGAATTGTTTGAGGGTTAAATGATCCAGTGTGTGTGCCATCCCTGACACAGTCCACCCTGAATATCTGCTGTGTTTTGCTCTATTCCAGGGCAAACGTGTTCTATAAAGGACCAGATAACAAATATCTTTGGCTCTGGGGGCTA